TAATCAGGTCTTTCATGGTATAACCTATGTGTCAGATTCATCTCAGTTGGCAGTTTAGTGATGTAATTTTTTGAAGGTGTTCACAGCAACCTTTTAGGAGGGCATGGTCTATCATACCATATTGGGATAGAAGCAATCCACAGGGCTTCATCCTCTGTGAAAACAAAAGAAGAACCTCTTTTCCAAAGCATCATACATACCCTTAGACCCAAATCCTGAAGTCAAGATACCTTTAGAACATATATGCTGGTTTAGTTTAGCAGTCCATTCAATGAAATGTCTCTCTGTATTTAGCTCCTTTACAGTAAAAAAATTGAAAGAAAACACTGGAATACAAAGAATCCAGACTCTCTGTGAAATTTCCATTTTTACATGGCTTATTTTTACTCTATCACTTTACTTTCGGTCACACTGCCATCTTCCTCCCAGAATTCTGTTCTGTCTACCATGCCCATCTAAGGGCTGTCCTATCAAAAGGCCAAGACAGTTTTCTTTATTCAACCAATGAAAGCAACACATAGAAAGAAGACCCTCCTACGCCAATTTCTTTGGTGTATGTGGTTTCTGGGCTGGCCACTTAGTACTGGACAGCCACTTGGTGGCCTCTTCCTAGGGAAACTGTTTCTTGAACTCTCAGCATTCCTTGGTTGCCTGTAGTTCTCTGTCTAGGGCTGAGGCCTGGTGAGGTTTCCCCCATTCATGTCAGTATGTCTTTTGGCGTCTACTATGTTCAGGTCTTGCTTAATCAACTTATTGATATAAGTTTTCATGATTGTAGCTTCTCTGTCATTTCTAGGAGGCATCTCACAGGAAACCTCCCATTTCTCTGACTTTTAAAGTGTTTCTGCCCCTCTTCCTCAATAATACCTGAACCTTAGATTCAGGAGTATATTGAATCTTTTGGGACTGGGCACCACACAGAATCTTGTTCTCTGCATTTTGATCAGATGCACTGTATTGGATAGTTTTATGTCAAGCTTACACAAGCTCAAGAGGAGGGACCTTCAATTAAGAAAATTCCTCCATAAGATGTAGGCAAGCCTGTAGAGCTTTTTCTTAGTGATCGATGGCTCAGCCCATTGTGCATGGTTCCATTTCTGGGCTTGTGGTCCTGGGTCAGAAGGCAGGCTGTAAACAGCACTCCTCCATGGTCTCTGCATTAGCTCCAGCCTCCAGGTTCCTTCCCATCTTGAGTTCCTGTCCTTACTTCCTCTAAAAATGAACAGTGAATTGGAAGTATAAGCCAAGTAAACCCTTTCTTCCCCAGTTTGCCTTTTTTCATCTCAAAGGCATTAACTCTAACTAGGACACATGGTTTTTTGTAATGGTCTCTGTTTCAAGAGATGTTTTCTTGATGAGAGGGGAGAACTACACTTAATTGTAGGTGTAAAGACATGTTTAGAGTGTAGTTAGGGATTATAATGGTTTTAGTAAAGTGGTGGTTATAAGTTCTCCTCAAAGATCCATGACTTCACTTGCCCAGGGTAATTGACCAGGTTTCCAATGCAAGGCATGACTTCCCTTTTGTAACCAAGATGTGTGTGCTCCAGTTGCATCCTTAGGGTAATAGTGCCATGCTAGTCACTGATGTGGCTTGTGGGCATCATAGCTGGGCAGAACTGTTTGTTGCTTCCCTCCGTTGGAAGTATGTGTGGTGCGTTCTGTACCATGAATACTACTAGGTCTAGCTCATGTTGCCCGGTCCCTGTGTCTGAAATGCAGCTTAGCAGTTGGGACTCACCTTCACCTGTAAAGGCAATCAAGGGCAGCAGCAATAGCCTGTAATATTTTGGGAGTCTCTTGGACAACCCTGACCAACAACTAAGAAGGGGGCTCCTACCTGATGTTAGGAGTTTTTACTAGTAGTTTATGACTTTTAGGAGGGCATTATTAGTTCAGTTGGGAAAATTTTATTTAAACTATATATGTAATGTAATATGTATACATAGACTTATGAGTACTATAGGTATTTTAATATAGTTAATAATATGATTCCTTATGACCTTTCAGATATCCTTACTATTATTTTACCCTCCCCCTTCTGTATTTACCTCATCCTCCTTCCTTAATTAGAGCCCTCCCGTTTTCTCATTTCCTTCTTCAAATCACGTAAACCCTGCTATTCTATTACTACCCCAGCCCCCTCCCCAGACAATGCTCTCTTTTTACGTCTCTGGTTTCTGCAGTTATTCTAGGATATGTACTCATATCTGATGATTTGGAACTAGGAGTCTCAGATGAAAAAAATTCAGTGTTCATCATTCTGGGTCTGAGTTGCCTCACCCAATATGATCTTTCTTGGTTATGTCCATTTACCTGCAGATTTTAGGGTTTTTTTTTCTTGACAGCTGAATACTGTTCCACTTCTATGTACCACAGTTTCAGTATCTGTTCATTGATTGAAGGGCATGGAGGTTGTTTCCATTTCCTAGCTGGTCTGAGTAGTGTGGTAGTGAACGTGTCTGAGCAAGTGTATGTGAACATGGCTGAGCAAGTGTGAGTGAACATGGCTGAGCAAGTGTGTGTGAACATGGCTGAGCAAGTGTGTGTGAACATGGCTGAGCAAGTGTGTGTGATCATGGCTGAGCAAGTGTGTGTGATCATGGCTGAGCAAGTGTGTGTGAACATGGCTGAGCAAGTATGTGTGAACATGGCTGAGCAAGTGTGTGTGAACATGGCTGAGCAAGTGTGTGTGAACATGGCTGAGCAAGTGTGTGTGAACATGGCTGAGCAAGTGTCTGAAGTAGGATGGCAAGTCCTTTGGGCATATTAAAGGAGTAGTATAGCTAGATCATGGCAGATTTATTTTATTCTTTGATTTATAGAGTGACTGGGCCAGTTTGTTGTCTTGAGCAGCAGTAAGAGAGTGCTCCTTTTCCCCCACATCCCCTCCAGCATTTGTTGTTGTTCTTTGCAATTCTGACCAGGGTAAGAAGAAATCTCAGTTATTTTGATTTGCGCTTCCCTAATTGCTAGGGATAGTGAACATTTTTTAAAGCTGTTTCTTAGCCATTTTTATGTCTTCTTTTGAGAACTTCCTGTTCATGTCCCAAGCCATTTATTTTTAAATAGGTCATTTGTTTTTCAGACTCCTATTTTCTTTTCTTAGTTCTTTATATATTCTGGATATGAATCCTCTGTTAGATGTATAGCTGGCAAAGATTCTCTCCCATTCTGTGGGCTTCCTTCTCACCCAGTTGATTGTGCTTTTAGCTAGGCAGATGTAGTGAGGAGCTGCGGGCAGGTCTACTTTTCGTCCCACCCGGTTCCCACATGGCTAGCTTAGCCCCAGAAGTAACAACACACAGATTGTATTCATTTAAACACTGCCTGGCCCATTATCTCTAGAGAGTTACTGGCTAACTCTCACATCTTGATTAACCCAGTTCTAATAATCTGTGTAGCACCACGAGGTGGTGGCTTACCTGAAAAGATTCAACATGTCTGACCTGGTGGCTGGCTCCATGGCGTCTGCCTCACTTCTCTTCCAGCATTCTGTTCTGTTTACTCCACCTACCTAATTTTCTGTCCTATCAAAGGGCCAAGGCAGTCTCTTTATTAACCAATGAAAATAACACATAGACAGAAAGCAAGAAGCTCTTTTATATTTTGTGAAGTCACACTCATAAGTTGTTGGCCTCAGTTCATGGGCAGCTGGGTCCTGTTCACAAAGTCCTCTCTTACATCTGTTTCTTGTAGGGGACTGCCTGTATTTCCTTGGAGTAGTTTTAGTGTTTTGGGTTTTACATTTAAGTTTTTGATCCATTTGGAGTTAAATTTTGTTTTGTTTTTGTTTTTATTTTGCAGGGTGATAGGTAGAGGCCTAATTTCATTATTCTAAATATGAACATTCAATTTTTTTGAAAAATCATGTTTTTCTCCAGTATATGCTTTTGAAATCTTTGTAGATATTAAATGGATGTAGTTGTGTGTGCTCATATTTGGGCCTTCGATTTTGCTGCACTGTTTGTGCCAGTCATGGCACTTTTGAACATTCTATTGATACTCTTTTGGTCTGCAAGACACTCTCTCTTCTCTCCTCCCTCCTATCCCTCCTACCCATTCTTCCCTCTTCTCCACTTTTGTCAGTCTTTTGTAGTTCTTTTTCCTGTACCCTTCCTTATATGATTACCTCCTACAGAAATCCATCATTATCCTTGTCTTTTTCTCTCTGGATGCTGAAGACAAGTGAATCTCTACCAGCTCAGGCCTCTAACTTGAGTTCCTAGTGAATATATCTATGTGGTTTCCCTTGGACATCCAGCCTCCACCTGTCCAGAATGAACTCAACCACTCTTGCAAACCTGCCCCCCAACCCATGGCTCTGTGAGTGGCTACTGCCTAGTGTGCCTTAGCCAGACACTTGGAGCCTTCACCACTGTGGCTTCTGCACCCTGACTACCTGTACCTTGTTTTCATTATTCCTCATGCCATATTTTTAGGTTCTCCACATTTCCAAACAGTCTCACATCTGTGAAAATCCTTCCAGTTAGCTTTCCCAAGGCTGAGTAGTGACCTTTCAAACTTCTGAGCTGATCACTTTATTTCCCTTGTTTGCAGTCTCCCTCCAGTGATTTTTAACAAATACAGTCGTTAGCATACTGTGGTTATCTCAAAGTCTGCCCCTTTCGCCCTTTCCAATTTGGATTCCCGTCCAGTCCATTTGGAGTCCAGTCACATGGCTCCCTGGAGTTCTCAGAACACTCCCATGCCCTTCTCTCCTACCTTCACACCTCTGCGTTTGCATTCTCCCTGGCCCCACAGGCTAGTTTTCCTCCTGTTCTGGCCATCAGAAACCCATGCATGCCTCCTCTTGTACCTTTCTGACTCCCCGCATTCCCAGGTAGTCCATCTCACTATATGTATTTCCCTGTATTCTCACATAGGAGACACTCAGCACTCGTTTGTGCCACAATCTAAAAAGCTTTGGATCTGAAAATCTTTTCCGATTTACAGACTGATAAGCCATAATATCATAACCTTCTCCTGTATTCTTATAGGTGAAGATGCTGGAGGCAGATCTGGTTTCCAAGATGCTAAGGGCTGTCCTGCAGTCTCATAAGAATGGGATAGCATTACCCCGGCTCCAAGGAGAATACCGATCTTTGACTGGAGACTGGATCCCCTTCAAGCAGCTGGGTTACCCCACTCTAGAAGCCTACCTGAGAAGTGTACCAGCGGTTGTCAGGATGGAGAATAGTAGATCTGGAGAGGTAAGATGGCATCTTGCCTGTCAGAATTCTCACACAGAGTTGAAGTCATCTCCCTGGTGCTTCTGATCTCCTATCTGTGGTAGAAGCGAAAGCCTTGAGTAGCTTAGATCCATAAGCGATGCACACCTATGGTGCAGCCCCCATCCTCATGTCTTCTGTAATGTAATGCCTCAGAGTACTTATGACATTTATCTAGTTCCCGTGTCTAAACAGAGTGACTATACAGGAGGCCTGAAATAGCCTTATGTGCTCACTACAAACCTGTGCCACTGTTTGCATTTTTTTATTTTTTAAAGACTTACTTATTTATTGTACTGTTTGCCTGTACTATGTGTACTACAGCACTACACCCGTAGTGTGGTCTGAAAGCCCCGGAACTAGGCTGGAGATTTAAAAACATACATGCAGAGACACGGGGACGCGGGTCATCCTTGAAACAAGAATGCCCACTTTATTGTGCTCAGGGGCAGCTTATATAGGGCTCTGGCCACGCCCCAGCTCTCGGGATCTTTCAGCTGCAGTCTCATCAGAACCCACTCCCCTGCCATCAGGGTCTCGTGCTCAGAGCAGCTGCAGGCTGCTCAGAGCAGAGGAAAACAAGTTGTTAACAAGAAATTCAGGGTCTGGTGGTCTACAGTCCCCAACAATATATTATGTATACAGTGTTCTACCTCCATGTATGCCTGTAATGCAGGACAGAAGAAGGCACCAGAATGCATTATAGATGATTTTGAGCCACCATGTGGTTGCTGGGAATTGAACTCATGACCTTTGAAAGAGCAGCCAGTGCTCTTAATCTCTGAGCCATCTCTCCAGCCCCTGTTTCATTTTTTATTACACATTTACTTAGTGTGTGTGTGTGTGGACACACCATAGTACACATGTGGAGGTTAGAAGGCAGTTTGCAGAGTGTTCTCTCTCTCCACCCTGTGGGACTGGGAACTGAATTTAGGTTGTCAGACTTGGCAGCAAGTGCCTTTACGTATTGAACCATGTCACCAGACCTGTTGAAAGTGTTTTGCAAAAGTCACAAATGACCTGATCACTACATCTAATGGGCAGTTTTAATTCTCATCACTGGTCACAGTCATGCCAGTTCCTGCTGTCTAGGCCTGGCTTATTTCCTCATTGATCACTCATGACAGGAGCCTCTCTGCCAAAAGCTGTGTTGTATTTTTCTTCCTTCAGTAGCCAGCTCCTCCTTCACAGGGATATGATCACAGTATTCTTCCACCTTAAACCCTTCAGCTTCTCTTGGAGGGTATTAGATTGTTGTGGGTGCAACAGGCAATGTTTGCTTCCTCTGTGTGTCAGTAGTCTCACTTACTCTGGTACCTACCATTTTCAATATGATAGAGACAGACAGGATGAACCCCTGTACTCCCTGCCCCAAATGTGCAGGTTTCTAGGTGCCCTTTCCCTTATTTGAGATGTCTTCTACCAAGCTTATTATGTTTGGTTTTCTCTTTGTGTGGGCAAGGAGAGGAAGAAAAGAAAAGGGAGCCAGTATCAAGAGAGCAGTCATAGGGGAAACTCATCTGTAAGAACTTATATAAGGGGAAGACACAGTTCACTGCAGTTGATATCAGTAATACAGTGTGTGCTGGACTACCAGGTTTAAGCCTTCATTCAGCTCCTGCTTCTTATAGCACTCATCACAGAGTTCTCAGTTTCTCTTCTCTGTCTTTAAAAACAGTTTTTGAAAGTGAGAGATTCACCTTTCTCTCTTCATAATCGGTACTTCATAAATATGTGTTAAATGCTTAATGAGCAAATATCCAAATGAATGAATGAACTAATAGTGCTTCATCCAGTTTCTGAAATGTTTTTCTTTAACTATTTTCTCCCCTACTTTGGATATTTTAAAATGTTTCCAGGTTCTGATTATTTAATACCTCCTTCTGAACATACCAAGGCAGGTATTGGGGTTTTTTTTTGACTTATATTGTAATGTAATTTCAAGAATAGAAGCACTGACCAAAAGAGTTTGAATGTGATTTGGCTGTAGCAAAAAGCCCCATTGTTCTTGACTTCAACTGAGAATCTCATATGCACAAACAAATGCAATTTTAAGAAAATCATATACTTTGGCCTCAGAAAGATAGCCTTACTGTGTGGCTAGGAGCTTAGCTTTCTGAGCCCTCACTGTTCCTCCTTGTGTAAGTGGGGAAAAGATGTACCGTGTGTCTCTGAGTTGGTGCATGTAGAGCACAGGATACTTTTGCTTATTTGCCAACCCTATGATAACCTGATTTATTGTAGATGCTTAATAAATACCTGTTTCAAGAATAAATGATCTAATCTAATGAGAGCTCACCAAGGCCAGCTGGACTGGGACTGAACGAGCATGTGATCAAACCGGATTCTCTGAATGTGGCTGACACGGGGACTGTCTGAGAAGCCATTGATAATGGCTCTGGGACTTGTTTCCTCTGCATGTACTGGCTTTTTGGGATCCTAGTCTGTTTGGATGCTCACCTTCCTAGACCTGGAGGGAGTGGGGAGGAACTTGAACTTCCCACAGGGCAGGAAACCCTGACTGCTCTTAGGACTGGAGAGGGAGGAGGAGAGGGAGTGGGGGGAGTGGGGGGTATTGGGAGGAGGGGTGGAAGTGGAAACTTTTATAAATTAATAAAAAAAATAAAAATAAAAAAAGAATAAATGAAAATCTCAAGTAGGAGAAAGTCAGCATACTAGATCGTGTGTGATTCCTTTTGTGTTCAATATAGTTTTGGTCCTGCAGAATTGGGAGAGCTGCTTAGGACTGCATCCACCTGGCTTTGGTACGGTATGTCGGCCCACTGGCACCCAGCCTCCACAAACTGACTCTCAGAATGTCTTGTTTTTGCTCTGCTGCTCACAGATAATCTGCTACGCTGTAGCCTGCACAGAGACTGCAAGGATTGCCCAGCTTGTGGCTCGTCAGAGGACCTCTAAAAGGAAAACTGGGCGGCAAATTAATTGTCAGATGAGAGTGAAGAAAACCATGCCATTCTTTCTAGAAGGTAGGACTTTTCATATAAAAGTTTGTCCCTGAGTAGATTGCCTTAAGGGCTTATGGAAATGCTACCTTTGTTCCTGATAACTATTAAGTGAATAATTTGCCAATATCCACATGTCAGAAGAAAAATCCTGCAGCTGGGATTTCTGTTGAAATGAGGAAGTGCTGATGAATGTGGCTCCCAGAACCCAGCAGTCACAGTGCAGAATAATGCAGCAGATGGTAACCGTCGTGATGGCTAAGTGTAGTTTTACCCTTTTAGGTGAAATTCTTTGACAAGAATCCTCATCCAGAATGTTGGATGGACCAAGAGCCTGTGATACGATGTCTATACTCAGCAGATTGAGTCTTTGGTTTTAAGATATTTATTTTTCAGAGAAGTTTGAATTACATGACCTAAAAACATGATAGCTATATTTCCTAAACGCTTATCTCGAGGAGGTTATAGTAAATTCTAAAAACAAATTCTTAAGCAATAGTTCAGCAGTGCTGTGAATTATTAGATGCCTGCATGGCAGAAGAAGCAGTTTAGACAAAACAGCCATCCCTGTGAGTGAGTGAGTGAGTGAGTGAGTGAGTGAGGAGGGTGGGCTTCCTCAGGAAGGAGACTTAGGCTGCAGGGACAGTGTGCTCTTAGAAGGCGAGAGGGACAGTGCCGGCTTCTTGCCAACTGGTGGCTGCTTGGTAGCACTTGGTGGTGAGCAGAGGGAAGCACTAGCTAGTGAGATAGGCAGGACCCTCATCCACAAAATGCTCCCCAGTCTCATATCCTAGTCGCCAACCTACCAGGGTCCCCTCTGTGTTCTTCCAAATTGTTCAGACAAGTGTGACCCACAGAACTAGCTGGTCAGGGGAGCAGCGCAATGAAACTACAGTTTGAAGAGCCAACTGATTTTGTTGTGTCTGCTTAATTTGTAGGGAAACCAAAGGCAACCCTCAGGCAACCAGGCTTTGCCTCAGACTATTCTATCAGCAAGAAACCTAATCCATCACCATTAAGAGACAAAGGAAGCACCGTGGGAGTTAAGGTTGATGTGGACATGCCACCTTACCCAGACCTTCCAGTAAAGAGGCATTTGAACATGTCTGCCAACAGCAGGTACCTGGGCTTTAACTGACTTAAGGGAGAAGCTTGACAAGCTAGGGCAACAACTGTTAGAAAAGTATGTTCATATTGAGAAGGGCTGTCTTTTGTAATTTGCATTCATACCCTTCATCATCAATAGGTCCTCTTCCTACCCAGTGACATCACCTGGGTTCCCCGTTCTGTCCCCTCCGGCTGTTCTGACCTCCCCTTGTCCTGTTGTCTTTACACATTCTAGGTTTTTCTGAAGTGCTGTTACGTATTTTTAATATTTTTGTTTTTTTACAAAATTGTTTTACAATTAGTAAGATATAGGGAAAATCTCATCTGGCTGTCTACTCCCCTTTGCTCCAGTAATTGCCCACAGTTAGGCAGTAGTGTTTAATCATGGTGCAGGGACACCTGGAATGTTTGTACCATGGAACTGGACTGGTAATGAGACACTTCTAGGCTTAACTTGGAGTAACCATACCTGAGGTAGCTAACTGTAAACTCACTATTTTATGTTTTATGATTTCCTCACTTTGCCGGTAAAAAACATGCAGGTAGCTGATAGAAAGGTTTCTTTCTATTTCTAAATGTCATGGTTTTATGAAGTCATGCAGAGGTCAGCAAACTACAATCCATGGGCTACAGTCCAAAATCCCCCTGCCTGCTTTTGTAAATACAGTTTTATAGGAGCATTGCCATATGTATCCTGTTCCTGTAATGCCTGTGTTGTTTTCTGCTGCAGTGGCAGAATTGAGTGGTTGTGCAGAGCCTAGAGACCGTCCTGTTGGCCTCCTGACAGGAAACACACTGAACCCTGATAGGGACGAATCAGTATTCCATCTTCCTTCCAAGTTGAAAAATTGTGCCTTTTTTGCAAATTTGTGATATCATAGCAGCTTAAATCAGTGTCTATTTGGGGGTAAAGGTCAGTTTTTCCTCAGAAGCTTTCCCTCCAGATACTAAGAGTATTTAGGAAAACTTAATAAAAAATAGTAGTTTGATAGAAAGGTCTGCTTTGGAGTTTTCTGGTAAGCCTTTGCATGGATCAGTGCAGAGGCGTGGACTCTGGCAGTTGTGTGTGCTGAAGCCTTTATTAGTAACTGACAGTCTGCTTCTTTTAGAATTAAAGTGCCACTAGGAAATGTGCTTTATTTGAAACACTTTAGTCTTTAAAAGTCTTCTGTGCTGCTCAAAATTGTGATTGCCTCTCCTAGTGAGAGAAATGTACCACTGATTCCTTTGATCATGGTTCATTCAGCCATTCTTACAGCACTCACTCTCTTGCTAGTACTAAGTGTTACTCAAGAACTGGGACGCAGCTGAGACACCAGTGACGGAAAATACAAGACCATGTATACATGTGTGGATACGTATGGGTGGGTGTGTACCTGTGTGAATGTGGGTAGCTATGTATGCATGCATGCTTGTGGCATGAGGTAGGCAGGTGCCTGTGTTGATTTTGTCCGTGTAGTTATCTGAGCAGCCTTTTTGCTACTTTGATACACTACTTTCATTATAGCCAAGCCAGAGGGGAAACGTAACGTTCCTAAGGTTTGTGCTCTTCTACCCATCTGTGCACCTGTTGTTAAATGGCACGATGTGGCAGCACACCCCAATCTGGTGCTGCCAGTCTTTCATTTTGGGGGCTGTGATCCAAAGTATTCTTTATGTCAAGTGTTTACTCTCTGTGTGCTTTCATTTATTCATCCTTTAAAGATGATTAGTTGAAACTCTGACTTCCAAGTTCTGACAGAGTCTTTTCAAAACCTTTCTCAAGTTTAGCTTTTAACATGCTTTTCTCTGAATAAATATGAAATATGATACCAGATTTATTTTTATATTTTGGAATGCTATATTAAGTTATTTTGCTGGTCAGTGCCATCGAGACTTTAAATGAAAAGTAGAGTTTAAAACTTGTCATTCTGAATGTTTTGTGGACCATTTTTTTTGTGTGTGGCAGTTTTAAGTTATTAGTTTTCAAAATCAGTACCTTTTAATGGAAACAACTTGACCAAAAATCTGTCACAGAATTTTGAGACCCATTAAAACAAGTTTAATGAGAAAAAAACAAAACAAAACAAAACAAAAAACTTGTCATTCTTTCACACCTTAGGTTTAGTCCGAAGTCATCCCTGCCAGCACCTCTGCAGACACCCCTCCCAAGGACCTGCGCTAAGGAAGTGAATGGTATGTTTCCAGATGGGTACCAAGTCTCGGGCCCCAAGAGAAACATGTAATGGTGGCTTTTGGCATGTGTACTCACCTTCTCCTGCATGAAATTTATCTCCCTCTCTCCATTTCTAACTTTAATCTCATGGATTAAAGTGATCTTTAGAAAAAAACAATGCTTCAGTGATGTTGTCAGCATGACTTGAGGCCTTCATCACACCTGTCCCCTTCTGCTCTGTGTCCACGTGACCTTTGCAGACTTATGATGCTTTCTTCACATTCTCCATAATTAAAGGGTAAACCCTAAAGACTTGGCGCTCAGCAGCCTCACTTTAAGGAAACTACATGCTCTATTTCATGGTCCTAAATGTGGGGTTTAAACTCATAAGATAGATACTCTACTAGTAAAGTTGGCACTATAACCTGTGAGGTGTGGCGTCTGAAAAAATGGCTCAGAAGTTAAGAGTACTGACCACTCTTCAGAAGACCTGGGTTTGGTTCCCAGCACCCACATGGTTGACTTAAAACCATCTGTACTTCCAGTCCTGGAGTTTCTGATACTCTCTTCTGACTTCTACAGGCACCACATACATGTGGTAGTGCACAGACAAACATGCAATCAAAACAACCATCTGCATAAAATAGAAACAAAGAATAAAATTATTTTTTTAACTGTGAGGTGACAGCTAAATATGAGTAATTATTGGTTATAAAATCCAAAAGGGCCATTAAGGAAACAATAGGATAGTTAATAAAGTTAAGGAAAGTGATGGTTAGAAGTACATCACCCATAGCCTTGTCTTGTGCAAGCAGTGTCTAAGTCTGCTGAGTCCCCTTACCAGGGGCAGGTTTACAGAGTGCTGACCATGTGCTCAGTATGAGTGTGACTAGACAATTTGCTGCTTGGCATGTGCCTCTTACTGAGTTCAAATTACTTTTTTAAGGAATGTTCTTCCAGTATTGCTTATGAAAATGAATAATAGGAGTTTTGTAGATAAGAATTGTTTTGCATATGCATTTTCTAAACCATGACTACTTGGTAAAGTTGTATACTCCTTTTAAGAGTTTCAAATAGAATAAGTTATTTCCTTAATAGGAACTGTATATGGTATTCTGGACCCTTCTGCTCTCTGTGCCAGTGTAAGACTACCAGAGACACATCATCTGTCTTCTAGTGAGAAGAGAGCAGTCAGTATCCTCAAGGAAAACTCCCTTTGGTACCTGGCATCCTTAGAGACCAGTATCCTCAGACTAGACTATATATTATCTCCATTGATTAGTTAAAAACAAATTAAAAATTATTATGCTTAGCAGAAGAGGTATCTGCTTAAATTGTAAATACATTCTTCAATATAGGTGTTAGATTTTTAATACTTTGATATATATTCTAGTAGAATTCTAAATAGGTTTGATACTACTTCATAGTTAAAATACCAGAATGGTCACAGAAACACCCAGGTTTCTCTTACTTAGTATGTAAACTCAGACACTCTGAGTATTAAATCAAAAGTATATGAATATGAAAGAAGCTAGCTAAAACTTTGAGAGATAAAATATTGGGGAAATAAAAGCCAGTCCGTGTTGGTGATGTCTGGGTGCCAGACCTGTTGTTCATGTTCATAAACTAGCTGGGGTTGTTTAATAGTTTGGGGGATTTTGTGGATTGCTAAATTGTTTTCCTTGTAAAAGAGTAAGTTCATTATAATTGGAAAACATGGACATTCTTTTATCTTTTATAAAATGTCCTTCACTCTTCCTACTAAGGTGTTTTTGTGCCTTGTGGAACAAAATTAAAACTTATTATAACTTCCAGTTGAGCACTGCATGTACATTTATATTACCTAAAATATTGCCTTCCTTGGCTGCAGTTAGGAAGCATTTGTTAAATAGTAAAACATGTTTTTACCCAGAAAGATTGCCCTAATGTTTAAAGTAATGAAGGGGTAAGTTCCCTTATTAGAGGTGTCTTGTCCCTGCTGATAAACTCGGGGGTGATAGGGTGAGGTGGTCCTCAGTGCTGCTCAGCTAACCCCAGTCTTCTAAAACCCATGGCTCCATATACCCATAGTGTAGCAAAGTCAGAGACACAAATGCTAGGGGATGGGAATACTCTATTAATGCTATCATTCTTTTAATTTAAAGATAATTTAAATCAGACTGTTGAGAAACCAAATGTCACGCCTCCTGCCTCTTACACTAATAAGATGGATGAGGTTCAGAACCGCATAAAGGAAATATTAGACAAGCATAACAATGGCATTTGGATATCTAAGCTTCCACATTTTTACAAAGAGTTTTATAAAGAAGACCTTAACCAAGGAGTTTTACAGCAGTTTGAACACTGGCCTCACATTTGCACGGTACGTGTTTCCTCCTTCTTCCCTTCTTATGCCCCTCCCTGCCCAGTTTGCAGGTCCCAAATCCCTAGTCATGGGAGCAGAGTGCTTCACGTGTGCTGTTACACTAATCTGTCTCTAAGATTAACACACGTGGCTTCCTAATCCTACAAGAAAAATGTCAAGGTTGGAAGTGCTTTACCTATTTTGTCTTAATTTTAAGATGCATTTAGTAGCTGATAATATATACTGTGTACTACTTTGTGTTGATTGAACTTCTGCCAATAAACATTGACTGTTTTGCCCTTTTAGCACTTATTGCTAACAATTTGTATTAGTCTCAGCATGTTCTTGAGCAGCTTTCAAGACTTTGAGCTAGAGCAAATTTATGTTATTTGTGCTAATTGTTTTTATATAGAACTTTGTTTGGAACTGCTAATATACTCAATTTGAGACCCATACAGGCTCCTCTCCTGGTAGAAACTTCAGATTGAAAGTTCCTTGTAGCTACCTCTGCTCGGAGTTAGGGATTATAGTAAGATGGTGAATCAGGACAGGTTGTTAGAGAGAGACAGCTAGAGTCTTATACCCAAGTACTTTCTAGATGTTTCTTAATTATGAAAATAGAGTCTATTCAAAATGCAGCTGTCCTAAATGACAACATTAACACCTGCTGGGTGCTTCTGTGTTGGTAGAATCAATTTCTTGAGGAGTATGTTTGTTTTGAAAGAGGGCTTTCTTTATCATACATTTAGGCCCCAAACCTATTGGGGGAAGTACAGGTACTTTCAAGCACCTAGCCTAAGAAAAGTGTGTTTTTTGTCACTGTTTCCCCCATGGGTGATTGTTCCCTCCGGGTCTAGTGCCCAGTTCCAGGCAGAAGTCACCATGCCGTACAGCCATCTTGCTTGCTCCCTCTCCGGTCACAACACTGCTTGTGCTAATCTCTGTCCTAGGTTCCAGAAGCACGGAGATGAAGGCTGGTGGGGTAAATAGCTATGGAAAAATGTGGTTAGGGCAATGTGGCAGATGTTAGCATTCTCCATGTGAAGTAGGGAAACAAGCCATGTCAGACTGAAGATACTGCCCTGTTTCCTGGTAAGTGCAGGAATGACAGACGTTCAGGGGAATGTTGCCTGTGTATCTAAAACATAGAGCTTGTTCCTAAGATGGAAATTTTCTGTTCCCCTTCTTCTGGGGAAGATTCTCCCTGAATGTGGCATGCTGGTATTGATGTCCCCTCAGCCACCTTACTCCTGAGGAAGCTGTTAGCAGTTTGTCAGCCCATCTCAGGTGCATTCAGTCATTTACTTTTAAAGAATCCAATGATAATCACATACTTTATAGTAAATTTAAAATGACTGTAGAGCTTTTTATGATCACGATACATAGATAACTTGCTGCTAGATTTGGATGAGGAATTCTTCAGAGCTTATATTTAAAGAATATATAATGTATTGCCTTTTGGTTGCATTATACTTCATAATTACTAGCATTTGTGTAGTTTATTACTTTTGGAGAAATTTTCATCTTTGCTGCTCTGTCCACAGAGACCCAGAGGAGTCTGTCTGACAAAAGTATCTGTTCTGTTGATATTAGGCTAACTAAAAGGAATGGTTTCCTATTAGATTTTAGGTACTAAAGCAACCAACTTTTCGTTATGTTTTCAGCACTTGATCCACCTGTACCTCATGGTCGTCTTGTGCCCAGTCAGGAGTGTTCAGCATGCAGCAGAACTACAGAATTCGTTCCCTACCAGTGTCTCTCTTGACTTTGAGTAGGACTTTCTAGATTGAGTAGTACTGCCAGTGTGCGTGCTGATGGCAGACAGTGGGTCTCGGATACCACAGACTGCCAGTCATTTGGGTGTCTGTTGATACTTTTCATACCTAATTTTTAACTTCTGAGTATTTTTAGGTGTTTCAGTTATTCCTTGGTCATTTCTCCCTGGATTTAAACAGTTGTCCATGCTTACAATCCCTTTTTGTGCCTTTATTCTCCCCTCCATGAAGAGCAGAAACACTGATAGCACACCTGCGGCTGTGTTAACCACAACCAACATCAGACTCCAAGGCAACGCTGAAAGCCTGGGATTAGAAATGGGCCCTTGCTCTGTGGCTCAACATGACTGAAGAAAAATCTAAGTGCATTATAGATCTTTGTCTTTTTAGTTCTCCAACTGTATAAAACACTGAAAAAGATTAAAAATCTAAGTTATAAAAATACAAGTTTATCTTTGCCACCACACCTGGCCCATATTTTATTTTTTAAATTTTACATAATTTTAAAACTTTGCTTAGGCTTTGAACTGGGCTGTGCATTATATACTTTCAACAACACAAGATCAAAGTTCACTAAGTCATATATACTTAACTATTACTAAAATACTTAGGCGTCTCGTCTCGTCTGCCCACACTTTAAGCATGTGTTATCTTTCTCCCAATAAACTCTAACTCAGCATTTTAAAAAATAGAACTATCCTGTAGTCTTACCACCCAAAGACACATGCTTGTGGGTATTTCCATATGCCTATCAGCAGGGCAGCTTCAGCATCAGGGACCAAATAGCAGCTGTGAGGTTTTTTTTTTTACCTTGATGGAGCTTCAGATCAGGTGTGTGCAGGACCATGTCATGGGATGCTAGATGACACTGAATTTTTATTTGTAGACAGGATATAATCACTTTGTTGCTCAGGGTAGTCTTGAACTCACAGCAGTGCTCCTGCCTCAGCTCCTTGAATGCTAGTTATAGCTAAGACTCCGATGCTGGGTTGTATGACATTTAACCTTTTGGGTCACTAGGTAGCAGAAGGTGTGCTCAGCTGGAGAGACTAAAGTCATAGTGATGACAAACTTTGTGGTTTTCGACAGCTGTGAGAGAACTGGAAATGATGGAGAAGCTGTCTTAGCTATGGGGAGTCCCATCCACGCCTAGGAGAAGGGCTGCAACGTCTTCTGACTGCTCTAGACAGGATTCTCTGTTAGACCTGACTGGCAGTTGCAAAACACTGATCTGTTAGCCACTGACCTAGATGCTGAGGATAAAACAGAAAACAAGACAAATATAGTCTTTGCCCTCATGGAACTTGCTGCCCAGTGAGGAAGCTCATCATTTGGACAGATAATGCTAGGCCTGTACCAGTTATGATTGCCATCCAGGAAGGGAATAAAAAGGACTCCATGTGGGGTGGCAGGGGATCGAAACCTACCGAGACCCGGATGGAGTGAACAGCCTCTTCATCTCTGTGTCCACTGGCATGTCCATCTCCAGTGTCCTGCCCAAAGCAGTGTGGAGAGCTGAGAGGCTAGGCTTTTGAGTCGGATCAGATGTACCCAGCTGAGAAGAGTTTCTACCCATGACCTCAAGACCTACTGGGCGACAGCTTTGGAACCCCCAGAGAATTAGTCCATAGGTGGTGGCACAGCAGGCCTTAGTCACAGAAGGTGACATGTCGTGACTGGTAACATAATATTACTGAATGTAAGCTGTCGAGAGTGGTTGGAAATGCCTAATTATTGTGGTTGGAAAACACTAATTATTAACAGCTTCCGCAAAGACGATTTTCTTTTCCATGCATCTCTGTTGAATACCATTGTCTAACCCATGTGGTCACTGACTTGTTAGTTAGCGCTGCAGGACTTCTGACCAGGAATCTACACAGCATCTGAGAAAACAGAGGCAGCAGCTGTTTCCTCACTTGCATCTGTGCTCTTCTGTGCAGGAATCTGTGTTGATGGAATTGTAGAGCTAATTGCTGGATATAATAAAATTCATGTCAGCTCATACAAAATGGGCTGCCTTAAAACAAGTCTGTTCATAAACAGAAGTGAACCTTGGGGAAGTGGAGCATGAGCAGTGTGCGTACCATTACTGCTCACCCTCACAGTAGCAGACACACACAGACTGCCAGCAGAGTTGTAGAGATGGAGTGTGGTTTCCAGAGTTTCATCACCAAAAGGAAGTCCTGGTAAACACAGTGGCACAACTAATAAGTCTCAGCAGACCTTTGACTGCTGACTGGTACATGGCACAGTGGATAGAGAAGCTGAGAAATGGTGTGCTGTCTAAGCTGCCCACAGGCCAGAAGGATACAGAAGAGCATAGATCACAGTTGAGTTGGAATGTGATTGGAAGCCTCAATTCAACAGACCTGTGCCCATACAGATGGGTCAAAAAGTATCTTGACTTAATTGGGTACTACATTCTTACAGAATCTTAGAAAAAATTCTAATTCCATAGAGACAGTAAACTTAATCTCTGAGGCCTCTGATGCCCATCTGGGTGTAACTTCTCAGCTGTGTAACTTCGGCCTACATACCACCCTCTAAAGCCCTAATCCGTTCTGTGAGATAACTAAGCTACACGTCATATGGTTGTTAGGAGAATTAAATGAGATAAAATACATAAAGCAGCTGCCAGCAGAGCATCAGAAACCTCAACCCAGCCTGACAGCAGACAGTCATTGCTGAAGCAGGGGGATGACCCGCAAGTCCTACAGAGGAAGTTACCTCAATGAAAGCTGGAGATGCTACTAAGTGGAAAAGGTTCCAGATGAAGAAGCATTGGTGTCACCTTGAAAAGGATCCCTTCGCTTTACTTTCCCCTGCCACAGGTAATGAGAGCAAGAGGAAAGCCTGGTGTACAGTGAGAGCCACAGCTCCTAGTCAGAAGCATCCCAGAAATTCTAGGGATAAAACTGGAAGACTCCACTATCTTCCAAATGTGGCTTGAGTTTGGACCTAGATGCCATGAAGTTTATACTTGTTGAAACTATGCTGGTGTGTGTCTAGAGACAGCATCAGCAAAAAGTATCGAACAGGCAGGTGAGAGTTGGCAGGGAAGGGAGTCTGCCTCTACAGCCATCTTCAGGGTGGTAGAGTAAGGTTCTCTGCAGATGGCTTGTGGACGGCAGAGATCCCAGCAACAGGGAACTGTTACCTTTAAGTTTCTGTGGGATGTACCGCAAATCATGCTTCTTAAACAGATTTTCCAGAAGGTCCAGGTCATTCAGCACCATGGCTGTG